TGCCTACTTCAACTAGACCATTCTGTTCCAATTCTATGCTACTGTAGCAATTGTTCTGTGCTAGGCCTGCTTCAGGACAGTCCCCTCATAGTTTGTGTACAAAATTGGAATGAAAAGAGATGCATGTAGATTTAGAAACTAACAAAAGGAGATTTATCTAGCCATCGCTGGAGGAGGATATTCAACAAGTATGTGCTCAGAGGATGTCCTGAGTGGATTCAGCTAAGCAAAACTTCCTTGTCTGAGCTGTCCATAATTGTCTGTCAGCCAAACATCAGAGAATTCTTAGAGCTTTTCATGGCTGTTTTGTACTTGGGCAACCAGAAAGTGATGTTAACAGCTTGAGCCTTTAGTCCCCTGAGCCAATCGTGTCTCAAGAATAGTTTCAGTACTTTTTAAGGAAAAAACCCAACTTGCATAGAGGCCAGGGTTAGGTTATTACCTTACAATATCATTGATGACTTAGGAGAGAACAATTTCTTTTTTAAAAATAATTTTTAATTTACATATTTCATTTTATATCACTTATATACTCCACTGTATTCTTTCTCCTACCTCTCCCAGAGAACCATTCCTTATAATAAAGAATAAAAAAGAAGAAGAAGAAGAAGAAAGGTAGCAAAACAGATTCACATACTGTCTTTTGTCCCCAGGAGCTCTGATCCTCCTTCTCTTGAGGAAGGAAATTCCTGAAGATCATATCTATTATAAGGTCTCTTATCTCTATAGTATATGTCTGTTCTCCCATAGGAACATTCATCACTGCTACCCCATTTCATGGCCAAAACAAGAATTACCTCTTTCCCTTTCCCCTGCTTCAATCCCTCCCTTTGCTTCCTCTCTCATTCTCCTCTCCAGTGCTTCTTAAACTGTGGGTCACAAACCCTTATGGGGTCATGAAAAATTTGGCGACAGTAAAAGGTTTCTGAATGTGCAATGACCAAAAATTAATTAAAAATCGAACATGTAATGACCCCGAGGTGTTTCTGGCAGTACTTTACCGCAGCCTGTGTTCTGAACACAAAGCATGCACACTTTGCATTGTGCACATCCTCAGGCCATGCAACACCAAGAAGTGCTAGGGAAAGGAGAAAAAGAGTCATGAGTGGAAAAAGTTTAAGAAGCCCTGCTCTAGGCTATCTTCTTCCTGAAAAACTATAATAATTACTTTATCTTCATTGCTAGCCTTTGGCTTGTTTAGGGTATATCACGTTATTTTTTTTCTTCCTCTCCTACCCCTTTTTATGTGTGCTTCCATTTTGTAATTTAATCTCACAGAAAACATTGATTCACCCTTAGATGGAGTGTTGTGAGGTTCATGATTCATGATTCATGGTGTTTCAGGCCTGTTTTTCCAAGAATATTTCTGTTCTTCTATTTGAGTTCCATTTTCACCTATGTCTCTTCCTATACATTTAGAAAGAAAACTCTTAATGATCTCTCTATTATCACCTTATTTTTGTTGTTTTTGATTGCTGTATTTGTTTTCCCTTCTTATATTTGTTTTCTGGGGTGTTAGAAGCAAATAATTTCTTTAGGTCAGGCTTTCTTTCTAGGAATGTTTTGGATGTTTATCTTACAGTTAGACTTGGATTTGCAGAATAGGTCACCTTGAGCTACATCTTGAGCTCCTTTGTTCTTTGGAACATATTGCGTTCCCTCTGGGAGTACAGATTAGTCTTGTGTTTTTCAAATTTGTTTTCCTTTTCATATGAAGGGCTTCCTCCTGGCCACTTGAATTTTTTTTTGTCGGTGGAATTGTTAGATTTAATAACCACTGTATGTGTCTTAGAATTTGCAGAATGTTTTTGTTTTTGTTTTTGTTGATGTTTTTAGATGATCCATGGATTCTTTCCACCTGTACTTTGTTTTTTGTGTTCAAATGTTCTGGTCATTGTTCTTGTGTTACTTATTGGTTTATGCTGTTCATAATCCTTAAGTTGCCTTTATATATCCTGTCTTCAAGATCAGTTAATATGCTTTGCTTGAATGGAGATCATGCGTGCTTTTATTGTTATTATTTTTAGGTTCTCCAAGATTGTTCTTCACTTCCATGTATTTATATTATCAATTAGTAACACTTCCTTTGTTTCTTTGGCGAGATTTGCTAGGGTAGATTCAAGTTTTTCTATTTGGCTAATTATTTTTGCTGCACAGGGCATAAATTCTTCCTTCACATTTTGTATTTAATTTTTAAACCATCTGGGAACATCCTGCTGTGGTTCTGTGCTCTCTTGGGAATCCACAAAGCTCCTCTGCCTCTTTTGGTATTGATTACTTTCCTTTGTCTTCCACTATTTTTTCACAGATAACTGAACTCTTTTACCTGATTTGGAGGTCATTTTTCCTTCTAACTCTATTATCTTCCCTTTTGCCTTATCTGTTTGTACTCAAGGTCATTACTTAAGTTTTCTACCTCCTGAGATCTTTGGTAATTTCAATTTTTTCCCTTACTTTCCCCTATTGCTCTCTTTTACTCCCTTTTTGATGGCAGTTTCCCTGGAGGCTGCATCTTAAAGCTCTCTCAGCCTCATTCCACACTGAACAATTCACAGTCTACCAGCTTTAGTCTCTGCCCTAAGTGACTTCTGAGGGGGAACAGGACTGATGTTGGACTTTTTTCCTTAGGCTTAGTGAATGCTACACAGTCTCACACACATGGGCCTGTCTTTTTTCTCTGTTTTTCTGTTCTCTGCCTTAGCTCTATTGGGACACAGAGTGCTACCACGCTGCTATTTGCAGCCTGGGTACATTTCTTCCATTTGAAGATCTGCACACTGGGAGGAAGAAGGTTGGGGTGTAGAGTTGAGTTCTTTTGTAAGCCTGTGGGTTGGCTTTTGTAGCCCTGCTTCTGGGTGGAGGAGTTACTGAGCAAATGTATTAGGGATTAGAGATTTTTCTCTGTTATTAGTTCATCATGTTTTTACCTTATTTCATTTCTTAATGTCCTGTACCATGGAGCCAATTGAAATTGCTTTATCTCTTGTTCTTAATTCCTATTTTGAAGAAGTTTGAGAGGTCATGTGGCTTGAAGGAATTGTCTGATCCTCCATCTTGTTGGTCACATAGCAATGATTGCTTAATGGATGAATCTGATGGCCTTTTCCAATCCTTTTCTTTTTGACCTTTGCAACATTTAACACTATTGACCGCACTCTCCCCCTGGACAATGTCTTTTCTGGATTTTAATTACTGTACTCTCTTTTGGTTCCTCTTCTACCTGTGTGACTACTTCTTTGCCAGTTCATTTTCCATACTATATCTTCTAACCGTGGGTGTTCTTTTTCAAAGCTCTGTATTGAACACTCTTCTCTTTTGTTTCTACACTCTCCCTTGGTGAACTTATTAAAACTCATGATTTAATTATCATCTTTGTGCAAATGGCTCATTAATTTACATATCCAGTCCTACTTTCTTTCCTTTAGCTTTAGTACCTTACATCCAATCACCCATTGGATATTTCAAACTGGATACCTGTAGGTATCTCAAACTCAATGTGTCCAAAATGGAATTAATCTTTCTCCCCCTCCTACCCCCATCCCAATCCACTCCTTTTCAAAATTTTTGTTTATGTGGAGAGCACCACCATTCTTCCAGCCATTCAGGTTCATAGCCCAGTATTAACTTTGATTCCTCATTCTCTTATGCCACATAACCAATCAGTTGCCATATCTTGTTAATGTGTTTTTTAACCCTTCCCCTCTGCCCCACACCCCCCAACATCTCTTGCATCTGTTTCCTTTTCTCTGTTCTCAGAACCATTGCCTTCATTCAATCCCTTATTACCTTTCACCTGGGCTATTGCAGTAGTCTCCTAATTGGTCTTCTTTCCTCGAGTCTTCCCTTCTCCAGTCAAAGCACCATACAGCTTTGAGAATGATTTTCCTGAAGGGTGGGTCTTACCATGTCAATACTCTATTCATTGGGTCTTCCACTCTGTGATTCACCCAAACTGGCTTTTTTGCTGATCCTCACAAATTATTTCTTCCATTTCTGTGCCTTTTTACTGGCCTCTCCTCTCTTTCTGTACCTTTTCCTGGGATGCATCTCCTCCTCATCTCTGCCTTTTATAGAGTCTCTAGTTTCCTTCAATAGTTATCTCAAGGAGCACTTTCTACAGGAAGTTTTTTCTGATGCATCTCAGTTACTAATTTATCTTGTCTTTATTTTTTAAATAGTATGTTTATACTTATTTATGTACATATTGTCTCCCATGATAAGATTCTTGAGGGCAGGGACCATTGAATTTTTTTTTCTTTGTATCCCCACCAACTAACACAGTATCTGGCATTTATTGAGTATGTAGCTTAATAACATCATACAAGTGGGGATAGAATTCAAGCCCCACTTATCTGACTGAATCTAAAACTTTTTTTTTCTACATGATGCTATCTTCTGTTTTGAGAGAAAATTAGAACAAAAAGTATAATTTGAGTGGAGATCATGATTAAGATGAATATAATCTCTACTAGGAACAAGTGAACCCATGTTTATTTGGTGCAAATTTAGAAAAAGTTAAGAAAATACATAAAAATATGTATCCCTCAGTACTCCTATAACAACTCATTCAGAGGGTTAGCCACTGAACAAAAGTATGTCTAAGCACATCATAGAGATGTATGGAAGAATTCCAAATGGGGATGAGAGATCCCTTTGAGTTTGATATGTTCAATAAATTTATGTACACAAGGAAGGGAAAATTGTATTAAGATCTATTGCTTTCTTATTGGAGTTTGTATGTAAAAAAGGTAAATATACATAAACTACAAGTCTTTGTATTTTGAGTGGATTACAAACTGTTGTCCGTGTTCTTACTATTTTAGGAAGAAGTGATAAAGTCCTTTGTCATGCTTTCCAAAAGATAGATGTTTATGATGCTATGATAGGGTAATAGTGTTTCTTTGCAGTGTATATATATTTACCATAATTACTTTGCAGGTCAATATCTACCAAAAAGCTTAATTTTAACCAGTTTATTTATTTATTTTTACAACATACAGGTTAGTCTTCAGAAACCCGAGATTAAACTTGAATCACTCAAAGAAGACATTAAGGAGTTCTTTAAAATATCAGGTTTGTATATTTTAACTTTTCGTCATGCTAAAAGACTTCTCTCTCTCTCTCTCTCTCTCTCTCTCTCTCTCTCTCTCTCTCTCTCACACACGTCCAATTACTTCTGCTATAGTCTGTGGAAAAGAATGAGTAGTAAAGCCAAAGAGTGAATGAATTTCTAATTGTAGAGAGAGAGTTTCTGAAGACTCAATAAGTGTTGAGTAAATGATTAATTACATTAATGAATATTAAATGACTTTTTATCCAACATGAAAAAATATATTAAGCACAATGAGTTATCTAATAAATTTAACAAACATGATTGATTTTTCTTCTTTGTATTCCCTCTTTCTTCATAACCTTTATATGATTTCCCCAACTGAAAAAAGGGAAGGAGGTAAAATTTCAAGTTAAAATGTGTGTATGTGGGGAGGGAGGGAATGGTATAGGGAAGGATTTTAAAAACTCACCTTGTCCAAACTAATTTTATATCTGAGCTTGTGTCTTGCCCAAGTATTAAATCTTTTTATTACTTGTTCAATGTTTTTCACCACTTTACAAGGCACCCAGAGATATTGTGTATCCTGACAAAAGGAAAGAAGGATTTCTAGCCCAAGAAAATGGTGCATCATGTTATTTCATCCAGGAGAATTGACTCAGTGATGATAGGCCAGGCACCAGGTGTTAGCCATTGGGCCTTGGTGGATGTGTAGGAGAATTTTAAGGAATGAGAATCAATATGATAACATAGTTTCACTTGTATAATTAATAGTAATATATCATTTTTCATTGAAAGCTATATATTGAAAACATTTTATTTTTACAGGTTGGGAGAAGAAACTTCAGAATGCTGTTTATAGTGAACTGACTGTGTGAGTTTTTCCACCTATTTTTAGATTTCTCTGTCATGCTGCATGCATTCTCATTTCCTGTCCTTAACTACCACATAAGGATGTTGTGAAGATGAATGAAATAATCTATGTGAAAACACTTGGAGGTCTTAGAAGAGGTGCTGTGTATAATCTTCTTGCTACAATTAACATTTAAAAAAAAATTAGTGTTGACATATTATTACCCCTAACCTTACTGTAGAAATTCACTAATGAGCTTGGTATAAATATTTTTTATTTTTATTGTAATAGACTAAAGATTTATATTTATATGTCCATTTATCCTACACAATGGAAGAATGAGATAACTCACGAAAGTGAATTTTACAGATAACTTATGTAGGAAAACTTTTAAAAAATTAACCATTTTGAATGAAAATCTCCTGTATTTACTCATAGCTAGAAGTATAATGTTGATTACATCCCCTTACGTCCTACTCTAATGCCACTATACCATGTATATCTTTTGTGGGATGGGAGATAGCCAGGTCTATTAAAATTATTTATAAAGAGTAAACAGACTTTTAAGTGATAGTGTGAGGACGGATCCTACATATACATATTTTGGTGAGTTATCTTTGACTAATCTGTTTTGGTTGCTCTTAGGCTTTTTTTTTTCTTACTCTCTGGTTCTAAGCTTTGTTCTGGATAGTTGAGGTTGCCTTTCTGTAGTTCCTCTGTAGATTTCTAGGGGACAGTGAGATCAAGAATTGCACAGGATGAGAAGGCATGGATTCACCTTTGGTGAGTGTACGCATGTCAGTAAGATCATAGATCTATTGAAATATTGCAGTAAGCAAATAGAGTAGGACTCATAAAAAGATTTGATTCTGTCATCAACAAAATCCTTTCTCTTATGCACTTAATAATGTATAATGCATATTTCTTACTGTAATATAAAATGTTTGTAACCATTATGACCTTCTTATCTACTAATACTAGCATTATAATGGTGTTTTGTTGGATAGAGCCCGGGGCCTGGAGTCAGGAAGACCTGAGTTCAAGTCAGGTCTCAGACACTTACTATGTGACCCTGGGCAAGTCTCTTAACCTCTGTTTGCCTTAATCCACTGGAGAAGGAAATGGTAAACCACTTTAGTATCTTTGCCGAGAAAACCCCATAGACAGTATGGTCTTACAAGGTCATGAAGAGTTATTCACTACTGGATAGCAATAACAACAACAAACTGCTAGATATTCTCTTCTTTACTAAGGTATACTGTTCAAGGAAAGCTGGTGATCTAAAATTTAGGGGGAAAGAAGAAATCTAGTATTAAAGCATTTAAAATGTAATTAGATGTCCTATTTGAACAAAACTGTCATTATTAGTTCATACCTCTTGCTTTTGAAGAGCAAATTTGCCATTGAGTTCTAGATAGCCTTGTAATACTTTGTGGCTTCTTTCCATATTTTCTTGGGTTCAAGCATCTCCCTTAGACTTTTCCCATTGGTATAAAACAAAGAGTCCACATAGCCTCTGACCTTATTTAATTTAAATCCTGTCTTAAATTTCAATAAACTGTAAGATGTCCTTTCTTCCACATATGTATTTTGGATAGTTTTCTGATAATTACGTTATTACTTAAGACACTAGTAAATGTTCATAAGATTTTGAATCTGAAAAGAGGTGATTTAATTTTAAAATAGAATGATTTCACTATGCTCTTACTTCAAATTATATGAATTTATAAATTATACATATTGTACAAAGCACACTGCTTTTAGAATGTCTTTTGCAGATATGATATTGCCTGAACCACCCATGCAACTGCATAGATTCCCTCCTCTGGTCAATTGGCTTATTAGGTTTGGGAATTGAAACATTTTTAGAGGAAAAAAGAAAGGTTACAGTTTTTTAAAAAAAAACTTTTTTACTTAAACAAGTGAAGCAGTTTAGATAGAACATTCTAAAAGATGTAATTAATTCATCCTAGGTTTAAGATACCAAATATTTCCTGTTTGATGTGACAGCCTAATACCTTGACTTCCCTTTTGAAATATCTTATATTGACCTGTGATCATTTTACTCAAACTCTTAGGGCATATTAGGAGGCTTCAGGGAGTTGCTTCACTTGACATGCTTCTTTTAAACTCATCCCAGAATGAAGGATCTCCCTTGTTTCTTCTGAAACTAGTCTCATGGAACACCATAGTCCCTCTATTAGGTTACTAGTTGGATCTGCTTGACTGTAGGTGCATGTAATTGAAGATAATTTCAATGCGAATTATGTATAATTATGAAGGAAAATAGAATCCTAATGGTAAAAACATGTTATAAATTTGCTTATCTGATATATAACATATATATACACACACACACATACACACATATACATATGTATCTAAATTATTTATGTATATAAAGCATTGAGATTTGTTTCAGGGCAGGTTATGTTCCTTGGAAAAACAAGAAAAATTGATTTAGGGCACTGAGAAAAGGTTAACATAGAACTTTTTAAATATTTAAAATATAGAAAGTAAATCAATACTATCAAGTTAGAGAAGCAGTGTAGTATACCTTGTAGTATACACAGTACTAGACTTGAAATAAGGAAGATCTGGGTTCAAATCCCTCTGACACTTATTAGCTAGGTAACTATGGATAAGTTATTTAATCTCTCTGAATCTCCATTTCCTTATCTGTAAAATGGGAATAGCAATACTTGTAGTATATACCTTACAGGATTTTTGTGAGATTTAAAGGATATCCTACATGTAAAGTCCTTTGCAAACTTTAATATGCTATGTAAATTTCAGTTACTGTTAGTAAATTTTAGTTACCATTACTGAAATAAGAAATAAAAACTTATTAGCCTTTTGTATCTTGGCCTTAGCACTATTGATAACCATTCTATTTCATTGATAATATATATAGTAGAAATAAGAATACTTCAACTAAAAAATATCCACAGAACCTACAAATTGTCGCAAGTAATGTAAACCTTTAATCTCTTTTTATGTATTTTTTTTTCCAGGTTTCCTTTACCTAGGCATCCTGCAGCACCACCTGAACATCTAAAAGAACCTTTGGTATATATGAGAAAAGCACAGGTTGGCTATTATTCATTTATATAAATATAAATAGTTTTTTTTCCCACCATACTAGGTGAAAAACCTTTGCAGATCATAAAGCATATACTGTTTATTAATTATATGAAACCTTGATAAAAGCAACTATGAGCAACTATTGAGGTATGAGCAGTATAGCAAAAGAAATATTTTGTATCTGTTTAGCTATTCTTATCAAAACATCAGAGCAATAACTATAACAACCACTGGAGAAAATAGGGAGAAGAAAAAAAATCCCATACCATATTGTCCAGAAATTTTAAATATGACAAAAATGAAGAGAGAGAGAGGGAGAGAGGGAGAGGGAGAGAGAGAGAGAGAGAGAATTATGAATGAATGAATGGCCCAGGACAGAATCTTGAAGCATTGAAGTTCTTTGGAATCTTGCTGTAGCCCACCTTTCTAGGGTAATTGTGCATTATTGTCCTTCCCACTTTCTGCTGTCCCACCAAGCTGGCCTATTTGCTTATCCTTGTACACAGTATTACTTCTCCTGCTTCTGTACCATTGTACAGGCTTTCCCTTTGTACCTGGAATCTGCTACCTTTTCACCTTCACCTCTTAGAACCCAGAGATGCCTTCAAAGTTCAACTTAGTTGCCAACTCCTACCTGAGACCTTTCTTGATTCCCTACCTGCTAGTCCCCTCCTCCAAAGTTATTTTGTATTTACTTTGTTAATATATGTTCTGTTTACTTATCTGTGTTAATATTGTTTCCTCCAATAGAAAGTAAGGGCCTTGATGTCAGGAATTAGTTTTATTTTTTACTTTGTATCTTCAGCAGCCAACACAATCCTAGACAGATAATAGATGCTTAATAAATGCTTGTGGACTCATTCATTGACCGTCAAGAACACTAAAGGAAGGTCCCAAGTTTGTTGGAGGGCTATATTTAGAGAATTTTTGAGAGGGCATGGAAGAGAGTCATATAGGGTGGGCATTCATGGCAGGTAGGTGGTTGGTACATTGTTTAATGCACTGGACTTGAAAGTCCAGTGGACACAGGAAGACCTGAGTTCAAATGTTGCCTCAGACACTAGCTAGGAGACCCTCAGCATGTCAACTTAATCTCTGTCTACCTCAGTTTCCTTATCTATAAAATGGGGATTATAATAGCACTTACCTCCCAGGGTTGTCATGAGGATAAAATTAAGTATTATTTGTAAAGCACTTTGCAAACCTTAAAGCACTATGAAAATGCTAGCTATTATTTTTATTATTATTATCATTGGAGGAAATACTCACACTGGATGAGCTTACAATCCCTTGAAGTATCAAAGTATTATTGTATTTTTTATTTGTCTTCATTAACATTTATATTTTAATAAATTCCTAGAAAAAGTTAAATCAACATAGTTTGATTATATTAAAATTTTCTCCTTTGACTTTTAGGGTATTTAGAATTTCTATCAGAAGTGAAGTAGATCTTTTTGAGACAAAATATCAGAAAGATAATGAGGTGAAAAGAGAATTAATTACCAATTGACAGCTGAAGCTTTACTTATGTAGTTCTTTGTTTGGTTGTTCCTTGACACAAGGATTGCAGAAGTGTTTATGTTCATAAAATCATCAAATGTTATAGTTATAAGGACCCTAACAATTCATCTGGTTCGTCCATTTCATTTCATTCTGCAACTGAGGAATGATAGTGCTATTTTGTGACACAAAGGGAAGTGTGAGATATGGTAGAATTTCTAGTTAGCTTTGTCATTTTTAAATATTTATTGTGAATATATTGAAAAAGAAAAATATCCAGTTTTGCAGGAAATATTTGTAGGAATAATTTTGTAGGAAAATATGACTTCCCAGGTCTTATGTTGATCAAGGTTTTAGTTTGAACTTATATTTTTTGAAATGTCAACAGTTTTATTTGGCCAATAGATATTAGAATCCCCTCTTAAAACTTTTTTTTAAAACATGGTTGTTTTGAGGAAGCAAGGAGAAAGATTTATTTGTAACATCTACAAGATCCAAAGGCCTTTTTACATGTTAAATAATAGGGACTTGTTGGGACTTTAAAAAAATTCTTATTTAATTGTCATAAGCAAATTAAAAGATGATGAGATGTTGCCAACAGTTATTCAAAAGATTTATTGATTCACTGGCATATTTTTTGATTAAGCTTTTTGATATTCATTGATATTCATTGATATTCAGAAAATACATGTGAAGCTGTTTGAAATCCTTTGAGTCAATACTGTAGATATCGCTTGTAATGGAAAGTGAATGTAAATTGATAGTAATTTCATTTATACAGGAAGTAGGTTACAATAAAAGGTAAATGTCTTTCTATATTAAAATTTTATAATGTAGAAGGATAGTCACTGTTCATTTTCCTTTTAATCAATGTTTAAAGTTCTTATTTATTTTGCAAGTCTTTAGGGGGTAGAGATCATTGCTTCCTTTACATTTTGTACTGATGCCTGCTGTTTTGAACTTGCAAGCTTACTTTTCCTTCATTGCCTAATAAATAATTTACCAGTCTAAATTTCCCATTACTCTTTTTTTACATGTATATGGTAGGTAATAAATGAGCATTTGTGCTAAACTCATAATATCTTAATATATCATTAAAATTTCCCAATATCCCTTTTAAGTTTTAGAGGTTTCATTTCTTACACTCCACAAATGAAGACTGTTGAAGATGTTTGTTTTTATTTATTTTATTTTTATTTCATTCTGACTCCATGCATTGGTAACCATACTACACTGTTACTCCGTAAGGCTAATATGGCAAATATACTTTGCAGTGGCAGCTTATGTCATTTTACAGAATGATATAACATGCTATGTGAATAATAAAATCAAATAATTTGCTCTTGGTATCGAAATAACATTTTGCTAATGATTCTATAATCTCAATTTTCATCAAACATTTTTAAAATGCTTAAAATTTAATGTTCTTTCAACTGCCAATATATTCTAATAACAAAAATTAAGATTACTAACCACCATTAAAGATACTTTTGTTCTGTATTTACTTTATGTAAAACTTTTATATTAGCTGTATTTTAAACATGAATTAAAGGAAAAATTTACTGGTTTTATATGTTTCAGGGAAGTTGGGAGAAAAGAATTCTGAAGAGTCTAAATAGTATGTGTACTGAACTAAGTATCCCATTGGCACGGAAGGTACTGTTAACATTTTTATTGCTTATATATTTTAAAATGAAGTTAATACTCATGGAAGGTGCTGTGAGAATAGTTACAACACAGCCAGAAGTAATAAGTATTTTTCCGTACTGTTTAAACAGTATGACAATCTCTTTTGAGAAATTTGTATGAGTGAATTTCCATAATGAATGTCACTTCAGTCCTCTATGGATACCAATAACGAGTTTTAGGACGTACATTTGTTTCTTAAGAATAGTTTCTTAATGCAGTGGATAGAGCACCGGCCCTGGATTCAGGAGGACCTGAGTTCAAATCCAGCCTCAGACACATAACACTTACTAGCTATGTGACCCTAGGCAAGTCACTTAACCCCATTGCCTAACCAAAAAAAAAGCAAACAAACAAACAAACAAAAAAAAAAGAATAGTTTCTTAAGTGGAAACATATTTCATTCTTGATTTTTTTTTCAAGGACTAGTTATCCAAATCATGACTCTTTAGACTTATCAACTATAGTATTAGTATGAATAATATAATCTATACCTTGCTTTTTAGATCTTTCACTTTCATTTTTGATTCCCTTAATCAGAAATAAGAACTATTTATGTAACTGTTAACATTTAAAAATTTAACCAGAAAATTGTCTACCATGGATTGAGTTGGGGAAAAAGAAACTAGTATCATTCTCCACTTATGAAACCTCACCATGTCCTCAACTCTAACCATATCTACTTGCTACTTTATTTTGAGTGGAAGAGAAAAGAGGCAAAAGAGGGAGGAAGATTAGAGTGATGCCCTGCATTGGCTTACATATATTTATATATGATGAAAATATACACATCAGTAAGAGGCAGAACTGGGAAGTTAACATAGGCCCTTTGACTCTAAATCTACTTCTATTTCTTTCTTCCTTTCAATCAAAACTTTCCTCTATTGAGTAAGATCTTTTTATGTCATAGATATAAAGAAAGCTTTAGGCTTTTAATTATAGAGGTTCAAAGACATCAATCGATACTAATAGCTCTTCTTGCCTTTGACATAAATTCTGTAAACCAGCCAACCTCCTCAAACCCTCCCATCTTGGTCTGGCAGATCTTTCTGTTAGTTTGGTCTTTCTTTCCTATTTTCCCTCTGTCTCTCTCTCTCTCTCCCTCTCTGTCTCTCTGTCTCTCTCTCTCTCTCAAACCCAGAGTTATGGCCCACTTAGGAATAGTACAATCATAGCTACAATTCTAAATGCAGTAGCTACCTGGTGCTATCCACACACTTTCATGAGACACTATTACCTAGACTCATTCTATCACTGAGAGTCTGAATTCAACCTGGAAATTCCATGGTGCCTATTTCTAGCAGTTTATAATATCTGACTACTTGTTAAAGTTTATAATCACCTGAAGTAATAACTGCTAAGTACAACCCTTTCATCATTGGAGAAAATCCAATTACTTAAGCATAAGACAGTTTCTCTAAAGATATATTATCTTATGTAGCTATTAATTTTCTTCTCATTTTCAAGCCATAAGCCTGGTGTCCCCCAACAGGGTGCTTCCTTGTCTGGTACTCGTGTGAAAAATTCAAGCATTATGAGAATGTCCCAATATAGTGATAGTACCAGAAATATCTCCTATCCAGTAGGTAGAGCACCAATGGGAATTACAAGTCTTTTAAGGAGTGTGAGAGATCTGAAAATAGCTATTCAACATAACTACCCCCACTCAATTTATAGAAATTGATTTTATGGCAAGGAACTGGTTTTTATATGATACAGTAACTTCCTAGTACTCTTAGTAGACCCTTGCCAGGCAGAGACAGAGTGCAAGGGAAATAACAAGGCTCTAAGTTTATTAGCAAAGTCACCATCTGTAATAAAATCCGTCCTCATGTTAGGACAATATACTATTTTATTTTTTTACATAATATTTTATTTTTTCTAATTACATGTAAAGATAACTTTTTGCATTTGTTTCTTATAAAATTTTGAGTTCCAAATTTTCTTTCTCCCTTCCTTTCCTCCCTCCTCCCTAAGGCAATAAGCAGTTTGATCTAGGGTATATATGTTCAATCACGTAAAACCTATTTCCATATTAGTCATGCTGTGAAAGAAGAAACAGAACAAAAGAAAAAACCACAAAAGAAAGAAAGTGAAAATAGTATGCTTTGGTCTTCCTTCAGACTCCATCGGTTCTTTCTCTAGATGTGGCTAACATTTTCTATCATAAGTCTTTTGGAATTGTCTTGGGTCATTGTGTTGCTGAGAAGAACTAAGTCAGTCAAGTTGATTGTTACACAATATTGCTGTTACTATGTACAAGACAACATACAATTTGCTAAATTTCATTGCTAAATTTCATTAAGTTTTTAAAAAATTGAAAAATAACTATTTTTTTTGTAGAGACCAGTTGTAGAGCAAAAGGAACTTCTCAATAAATGGAATGAAATGGGAACTGATGAACCAGGTATGTAAAATTATTTTTTTCTTGTGTGAAGGGCAATACAAAATTATTTAGTCTACAATTATGAATCTAAAGCAGCATATATAACAGTTATTGGGGAAAGTAAGTGGTTTATTTTTCATCTCCAGTTAGCTTATATAATTAAATGTGTATGTATATGTGTATGTATATACACACATACACACACACATATGTACATATACATATATATTATATTATTTGTTTAACTTTTTATTCTACCTTTAAAAAATTTCAACTAGATTGGCCTATTTTTCTAGTCAATTTTGAGAATTATTTATATTATTTAACCTTTAAAAATTAGTCTTTAAATATTCTTGTTGTTTTTTTTTTCAAGTGTACTCTCTGGATTTCCTTACTTCCAGGCCCGTATATATTTAAACTGAATGTTTTCCAAACTTTAATTTAGATTTTAAAGATACTGAATTAAGTAATACAATATAAATTGGAATTTTCCAAGCTGTTTTTTTTTTTTAAGAATATTGTGGAATGATGGAAAGAGCAATGGATTTGGAGTCACCACAAATCCTGGTTTACGTCTGGGCTCTTGCCACTTATTCACTGTGTAACTGGGGCAAGTCACTTAATCTCTCTTTGTACCTCATTTTCTCCATGTATAAAATGGGGTAATACACTACCTGCCTCACAGGGTTATTGTAAGGAAATCTCTTTGTAAATAAATAATAAAAGGCTATATAAATGTGAGCAGTCTTACTGTTGTTTAAAATAAATTTATGTGGATGATTTTGTGACTTAGTTCTGGTAGACATTAATAACTAACTTTAATAAAACAAGAAAACATATTATGTTTATTTAAAGTTGTGGGTTTTTTATATTTGCATAGTTTGATATTCTATCAATTCAGATATACATAAATGAGCCCTTACAAATTTATGAAGGGGAAAAGTTATTTTTTGGTTATAGCATAGGACTTCTGCCATCTGTTTCATAATAACATTATAAAATAGTATTAATCAAATTCATGTAGTTTATTATATAAATGTTCAATAATAAGGTTTTAAGTGAAGTTTTGTTTCAATCTTTCTCATTCTAGATTTAAGCCTTTTCAGACCTGTTTATGCTCCTAAAGATTTTCTTGAGGTAAACACTACTAAATGGATTTTAAAAAAATAAGAAAATAATGTAGATTAGAGATATGCTAATATTGCTGGAAAATCTCCATACACATTAACACCAGTGAAGAGGAGAAAATGTTGGGGATTAGAAAGGGGATAAAAAATATAAATCTATTGAGAAAATGATACTAGTTTTGTAAACTAATAATGGTTAATCTTTTCTGGGAAATAGCCAGGATGCTGTGGACAAGTAGTAGTATATCACTGACTGTTTTGTAAAAGCCCTTTGGAAAGGAGAGGGTAAAACTGGGGAGACCATAGGAAGCTCTAAACTGGAATTTGTAAAAAACAAAAAAAAAAACCCCAAAAACAAAAAAACAAAAACCAACCAACCAACCAACAAACAAAAGCCCAACAAAAACACACACACACACAACTCTTACACCTAGCTTTTTGAAAATCAGAAAAAGATTTTATATTTTCCAGACTTCTGAAATACAATTCAACAAATGCATTAAGGTCCTATTTGGAAAGGTTCTGTGCTAGATAGTAGGGGCAGCTAAGTGATGCAGTGAATAGAGTGTTTGCCCTGGAATCAGGAACACTTGAGTTCAAATCCAGCCTCAAGACACTTAACTAGCTGTGTGACCCTGGGCAAGTCACATAACCTCTGTTTGCTTCAGTTTCCTCCACTATAAAATGAAGATAACAGCACTTGCAGAACTGTGAGAATAAAATGAGATGATATTTGTAAAGCACTTAAACACAGTGCTTGACACCTAGTAGGTACTATATAAATCCTTATTCCTTACCTCTTTTCCTAGCTGCTGACATAAAAACATAAAAAAAATGTTTCTTGCATTTAACGAACTTATAAGGTAATGAGAGGGAAGGGAAACAGGATATCTATCTATCTGTCTGTCTATGAATAAGCATGATATAAGGTACAAAGGAGAGAAGCTACTAACACTTTGCTAGAAAAATTTCAAAATTAAGAAATCACTTTGAGTTTGGGCAATCAGGGAATTTCTTCCAAAAAGGAGGTGGCACCTTAGCCGGCCCTTGAAGAAGAGAATTTTAATAATTTTAGCCTAGATAAATCTTGTTCAAATTCTTGGGGTTTAGGAGAATATGGGACAAGATCAGGGAACAACAGTCCAGTTTGAATAGAAAGCAGAATGTATGTTGGAGTGTTAAATAAGGCTAGAGAAGTAGGATCAAGAAAGATTGTGGAGGGACTTAGATGAGTAATGAAGAGGATCAGTTAGGAGGCTCATGCAGTAGTCTAGCCATTAAGCTGACAGTCACCTGAGCCAGGTTGGCAACATTGTGAATGGAGAGGACAATATGATATGAAAGACGTCATGGAAATGAATTAATAGGACTTAGCAACTGATTGGATGGTAGAGGAAGAAGAAAGAATCAAAGAGAATCCTGGATTTTGTACTTAAATGTCTTAGAGGAGAAATAGGGAAGTTGGGAGATTAAACAGGTTTAGGGGAAGAAGATGATGAGTTCAATTTTGGATATACTAAATTTGAGCTACACTAGGACGTCTTTGTTTCCAGCAGGAGCTGGAGATATGAGACTGAGGTTCAGACAATACATTAGTTTAGATGTCTAGATGTGTGAGCAGAGCCATTAATGTGTAATTCTTCAGTAAACAGCAAATTCAATTCCGAGGTAGGGAGGAAGAGATAACGGAAATGCAGAGAGCTCTCTGACATCTGATGCAGAGGTGAGCCCATCTAGCAGAGTCCATCCCTTGTTCTTTGAGCAATTGGGGAAGATAGGCTTCAAGAGAGAGGGGTCACAATGACTGGACCCTCAGGATGGACAGCCATGCCAGGAGAATGCCACAAGGTAAGGTGTGATGATAACAGTCACCATGTGGAAAAAAAAATGTGCCCTTCCAAGGAGGAATCATATGCCTTTTATATCTTAATATCCTTGCACAAAACTCAATTGGCCCTATGCTAATTATAGCCCTGTTTGTAAGTCATCTATGTATAGGTAATAACTGAAGTCATGGGAGTGGATAATATTCCCTGATGGAATAAGTATACAAAGATAAGTGAATAAGAAAAAAGGATAATGTTCCCCTATTATATATATGTATATGTTACAAGCAAAGCAGTGGCAAAATATGACATAGGTAACTAAGTATATTGCAAACTTTTAAAAATACCTACCTCCTAGGGATATTATAAACCATTTTAACTGTTAGCTATTATTATTTTAGTTTATCTATTTGATATAGTCTACCCATACTTACCACACAAATCAAACTATTACGTATTGTCAGGAAGAACATTATAAAGAAATTGCAATATAAATACAGCAGTCTATGAGGCTGGTCATGCTGAATTGCAGTTACACAGATAATATTTCTTCCCCTCACTAAATCACTGCAGAACATATTTCTTCCAGTCAGTTCTACTCCCCCCAATTCCAAATTCCTTGAGACAGTATCAGGTCATCCCCATTGTTGTTTTGCAAATGCTGTGTAACTTGTACATGGAATTTAATTCTTTTGATTTGCATTTCAGAATTCCCTGACTGACTTAGTCTTTCTTGGAGTTACTGGGATTATTTGTTTCAAAAAGGCTTGAATATACTTGTAGGCTTAGTTTTATTTAATTTTTGTATATACTTCTTAATTTAGTTGAGTAGAAGATTCTGGGGTATATTCATTTTTTCTATCTTTCTGCAAATTATATTTTTAAAAAAGAATTTTTGGGAAGAATTTTTCTTGGAAGTGGAGAGATTGAGAAGCTGAACTCTTTGAGAAAGCTCGTTTTTCTGTTTTCCCAAAACACTCTCTGGTATAAATTCTAAAATAGCAGGTTCTACTTCAGCATCTAGTTCTTCCTTATTGGTCAGAATCAGGTTCAGGATAGTCATTCTCCTCATCAGGTCCTCTATCTTTTGAAGAATAAAGTTACCTTTAAGGCAATTCAAGAATTCTTCATTTAGCAGAGATGCCACTCTAGAAGATGTATGCCTATTTCAACTAACTCCACCATATCTCTTGTGTTCAGCCCTTTCTCTCTACTCATATAGCCACCACTTTGGTGCAAGTCCTTGTCACCCTTTACCGAAATTGCAACAGCCTCCTGTTTGCTCTCTGTGCCTCAGATCTCTCCCCTACTTTGTGTTCAATACAGCTGCTAAAATGATTTTCCTTAGATGCAGATCTCATATGTGATTCCTACTATTAACTAACTTCAGTGGCTTCCTGTTAATCTCTGAGATAAAATTTAAACTCCTTTGTTTAGCTTTGAAAACCCTTTACAACCTAGCTCTAACCTATCTTTCCAGCCTCATTTTTATTATATCCTGACTTGTCTGCTTGATTCAGGCAAACTTGTTTCACTGTTCCTCATACCCCACATTCTGTCTTGCATCTCTGCAGTTGTCCTGGCCTCCATGCTTGACATGTACTCACCTTTACCTCTCAGAATCCCTCTTATCAAGATACTTGACAAGCATAACCTTTTTTATGAATCCTTTCCTGATTCCCCCCAACTTCCCCCCAAATGGATATCTTGAACTGGATGTCTTATAGACATCTTAGATTCAACATGTCTCAAACTGGACTCTATCTTTCCTCAGAAAACCTTTCCTCTTCTGAAATTACCTGTTCTCAAGGGTACCACCACCTTCCCAGTCATTTAGGATTGAAACCTAGGTGTTATCCTTGATTCCTTACTCTTTCTTTACTCCTATATCAATCTATTGCTTAATCCTGTGGATTTTGTTTTCATAACACCTCTTGTATATGCTCCTTTCTCTCCTCTTTGACACTGCTACCATTATAGTGCAGGCTCTCATCACCTCATATTTGGACTATTGCAGTGGCCTGTTGGTTGGTCTCCATAAGTCTCTTTGTTCTCCAGTCCATCCTCCACTCAGCTGCCAAAATGATCTTCCTAATGTTCAGATGTGACCATGTCATGCGCTTGATAAATTCCAAGGGTTCCCTTTCACCTCCTGTTTAGTGTTCAAAGCCCTTCATAATCTGCTCCCCACCACACACACCTTTCTAGTCTTCTTAAACCTTATACCCTCCCATGGTACTCTGTGATCCAGTGACACTTGAACAACACACCCCATGTCCCAGCTCTAGACATTTTCTTTGGCTGTCCCCCATGCCTGGAATTCTCTCCCTCCTTGTCTCTGCCTCCTGGCTTCCTTGGTTTCCTTCAAGGCCCAGCTAAACTCCCATCTTCTACAAAAGCTTTCCGAGGCCTTCTTAACTCTTGTGCCTTCCCTTTGTTATCATCTCCAATTTATCCTTGTGCATATATTGTGTGTACATAGTTGCTTTCATGTTGTCTCCCCCAATATACTGTGAGCTCCCTGAGAGCAGGGACTGTCTTTTGCCTTTCTTTGTATCCCCAGCACTTAGCATGGTACCTGACACATAGTAGGCATTTCATAAGTTTTTGATGACTGACTGACTCAATAATATCATACCACGATGCTACCTGCTCAGTAATTTTCTTTGACTTCCAATTGCCTCTTGGAACAAATTCATACTTCTCTGTTTGTCATTTAAAGCTCTTGACAGTCTGGCTCCAACCTATCTTTGAAGGGTTTATATTATTATATGTGATGCCTCTTCATGCATTATATGATCTAGCCTAAGTGACCTTCTTGCTGTTACTCATATTTGACATTTTATCTCTTGCCTCTGTGTCTTTGCACAGGCTGTCCCCTGTGCCTGGAATCGATTACTTCCTGGCTTCTGCCTTTTATAATCGTAAGCTTAAGCACTACCTTCTTCATCAGGCCTTTCCAGTTGTCATTGTCTCCATTCCCAAAACTATTTGGTATTTATTTTATATGTATTTACTTACATATGTGTTGTTTTCTCCAATAGTATATCAGCCCTGTGATGGTAGGGATTATTTAATTTTGTCTTTATATTCCCAGTACCAAGCTTCATAGGCAACTAATATATCGTTATTTGAATGGCTATTTTTCATAACATCCTCATATCTCTAAGTTAAGAAATAAAGTAAAATTAGATTTGTTTTTTCTTGATTTTTATGTTTATGGCTTTACCTTTCCATCAATGATTCTGTTAGGTATTTATTGAGTGCCAACTATGTGCCACTATGCTAAAGGATATATATATGTAATGCGTGCTTCTTAGAAGGAAGCTTTCAGTATCACACATTTAAGAATTAGATTCCTAATATCCTGTATGTTAATTTTTTATATTATTTAAATCACAGTTAGTGAAATTACATGTAACAATGTTGAAACAATGTTGAAAGTCCCAGGATATAAAGAGCAGCTAACTATTGATACAGTGATTATTGAGCCAGCCACCCATGTATGCCATACCATTTTTGCTGCTTTTATTGATTATTGTAAAAATTTTAATATGATTCTGCAGTCATGGTTTATTCATAAATTGTAAACACAAAATAAATTTAATAATACTTTCATTAATGAATCATACTTATAAGTTATCAAAGTAAACCTGTTTTCAATTTTGGAAATGTAAAAGTGATTTGAAAAATGGTATTCTAAACTAAATCTATAAGATTAACTAGATAAAACAGTATAGACAAAAGACATGTTTAACTGGTAATCCTCAGACATATATTTCTGCCATTAAATCTTACTGGATTCCTTAAGCGTCCTAGGGAAGATCAGTTTTGTTGGGGTCATAGGACTGAAAGGAATTCTCAGAGCTCATCTGAGCCACCTCCACCCTCACAACCGTGTGTTTATACTTACTCATTCCTAATTAACTGGTTGTTAATTCTATTTTTAAAATTATTAAGGAAGATGGAGAGATTCTACAATCCCTTTCCTTGGTAGTCGGTTCTCATAATTCTTTATCCATGCAATTAAGACATTTCTATTTATAACCACGCTTTTATGTTTTTGGGAAAAAAGTAAAAATTTTTGTATGTTTCAGTGTGTGATTATATGTGATGGTATGATTAGATTTTCTGCATGCTTTATTACCCAGCCATTTAGTAATTCTATGCTATGAGGTTAGTTGTATTTAAAGTCTAATAATTCATGCTGATAGTGACTAATTTTGTTGTTTTTGTTTTTAAAGGTATTAATTAATCTTCGTAACCCAAATTATGAAAATGGTGATCATCTTAATTTAAAAACTCATTTGGGTTTAATCCAAGTTCCTCTAAAAGTAAAGTATATCTCTGAATTGGTAAGTAAAGTTATTTAAAAATAATCTTTTAGAAGTGTTCAAATTTTTAAGCTAAATATTTGTGTACATAATATATTTGAAACTTCAAGAAAATTAGTCAAATGGATGAATCAAAAGTTTTTGGAGTATTACTTCTATATATACTTTATATAAAGCATTCATACCTTGAATCATCCCAAAATATATAAGCACTTGAAAGAAAACAATATATTAACTAAGGAATAAAAAGAGTATACCGAAAAGTATACTTTTCGGATGTAAAGGATGTAAAGAGCAGCTTACTATTGATACAGTGATTATTGAGCCAGCCACCCATGTGTGCCATACCATTTTTGCTGCTTTTATTGATTATTGCAAAAATTTTAATGTGATTCTGCACTCATGGTTTATTCATAAATTGTAAACACAAAATAAATAGACCCAAATAGTGTTAGAACACTGGAACATCTGATGCTTACATGGAAAACTATTCTCTGTTAAAACAGGCCACCAGTACAATAAAATAAATAAGGAATCTATGAAAGTGCTAAGATGCATGAATGGAATCAGAATGCCCTTCTGAGAAGGGCTGGAGGGCAGAGCAAGAAACTACCCCCCAAAGCCTTTCTGTCGAGAGGGCTCCGAGCTTTCTAGCTTCATTTTCCATTAGCCTGCTCAGTTGGCTTTGGCCCTGTAAACTCAGGATAAGCTGTTCACCCAAAATCTTATCACCAGCAGATTCATTCAGCACCTTCGATTGCTTCATCCCTCTGACTGGAGGGCTGGAGAGTGGAGCAGCAAATGCCAAAGCCCCCAAAGTCTTCCTTTATACAGGGCTCAGAACTTTCCAAGTAACTCTTCACTTTCCATCAGTAGCTCTGAGTAGTTTTGACCCCCCGAACATCATGCCTTTGTCCCAGGTACCTCTTGCCAGGCCTCTCACTTCTCGTCAGCTTTCTTTGGTATGTTGTCGTCCTTCATTAGATTGTAAGGGGAAAGAGGCTGTCTTTTTCTTATTTGTATCCATAGCGCATAGCACAGTACTTGGTACATAGTAAGCACATAATAAGTGCTTGTTGATAGAAACTCAACCGACTGTATGCTGATAAAAAGGTGGCAAATGCCTGAACCTCATTTGCTTTCCCTCTGACATTATTGCTGATTTATATTATATTTGAACATAGTTGTTTGCATGTTGGGTCCCCCATTAGTTATGAGGCCTTTGAGGGCAAGAATTGCCCTTTCTTTGTGTCCTTAGCATTTAGCTCAATACCTACCACATAGTAGGTACTTGATAAATGCTTGTTAATTGACAGAAACTGAAGGGTCCATGATAGTAATACCAGATCAAGCAATTGCTACCATAAATTAATTTTTATATTTTAAGTGTATTGTATTTTTATCCCTTTCCTACCCCTTCCCAGAGTCCATCCCATATAATAAATTATATTTTTAAGACAACAAGAAAAACATCAGTGTAACTGATTAGTACATTTTTTAAAATATGAAAATATGTACAACTCTTGTGGAATTCCCACCTTTGCAGAGGAATGAGTTGGGGGTGTCTTCTTATATCTCTTTCTAGCCAGGCTTGTTCTTTATATTTTTGCAGCATTTAATTTTTTTGTTCATATCCTTTGATCATTTATCTTTTGGAAGCTACCCTAAATTATAGAAAATTCATCCCTGAGGAGCCTTGACTCTGATATTGTTGTTGTTCAGTCATGTCTGACTCTTTGTGACCCCATTTGGGGTTTTCTTGGCAAAGATACTGGATTGGTTTGCCATTTCATTTTACACATAAGGAACTGAGGCAAGTAGGGTTAAGTGACTTACCCAGGGTCACAAAGCTAGCAAGTATATGAGGCCCAGATTTGAACTCAGGAAGATGAGTCTTCCCGACTTTGGGCCAAGCATTCTGTCATTGCCTGCCTACCTACCTGCTCACTTTGACTATAAAGTAAAACAAATTTTGCAAGGAAATAATGGAATCTATACAACATCCCCTTGTATATTTAAATGATTTACTACTACTGACTACCTAGAAAAAAAGGATGTGGGTAGCCAGAATGATACATCAGAAACTTATATTTCTTAATGAACTAACAAGACAAATCCTCAAGCTGCAAATACAAACTCCAAAATATCCTTGGGCATTCAGCAAATAAAATTAACTAGAATCAAGGCATTATTACACACAAAATTGTTGCCAACAATTTAAAATATTTTTTACTCAATATCAAAATGCCAAACACTCATAACCTCCAAATTATATGGAATGAAAACTTCAAATTATAGAATCCCTAATTGAAGAAATCAAATTAGTGTGGCACCTGAAGGAAGTAAACGTCTTCCCTGTCATCTTGTCTGCTACTGGAGATGCTTTCAGTGAGTTTACAGATGAGTTTGCATCCCAAAAGTGACTTGCCCAGGGTCACACAGATAGTAAGTAGCTAAGGCAGGATTTGAATTCAGGTGTTAATTTGAATGAAGTCCAGTGCCTTACCCACTGCAGCACCAGCTGCCTCTCTGTGTAACACTGTAGGCAACATATCCCAGTAGATAGAGACCTGGAGAGGATTTTGGTTCTGGACCCTGAGCATTTAACCTCCTAGTGCTCTAGGCTAGAGGTATCATACTAGCAGGGCTGCACTGAGCCCTGACAGGGGAGCTGGAACCAGATTAAAATGTAACTAGGAAGTGTTTAACAAAGCAAATAAAAATATAGTACAACATAGATAATGTTATTTTGTGGTTTTCCAAGTGCTAAGGTCAGGGATATTTTTTAAAATTTAAGTTTGATATCATTATTTAGGCAAGTTTCTAAGACTCTAGGTTGAAGAGAAGGTGCTGACCAGCACTGGCAGAAGAAGTTTCTTTTTCTAGAACTTCTACATACAAGTGAAATTACAGGTTTGAACCTTGTAACCCTGTGAGTTAGGTGACATTGTTATCTTCATTTCACAGATGAAACTACTGAGTCTCAGACATACAGGAGCCTGGGGTCCTGTCTCAAGGTGACCTAGCTAGGAAATGTTTGACATGGGATTCAAACCCAGGTTTACCTGAGTCCAAGTCCAGCAATGTATCCATACCACCGTGCTGTTTGTCTGTCCTCCTTCACTTGTGCTACATGATCAGTTTTTCCCTGTTCTAGCTGTACATGTCCTTGCTTCCACATTTAGTTGTTTTTCATATGTAAGCCATCATTGCTAATATATTCCAGCCTGCTTACATACACTACGATCTTTGAATTTTCTGAAATTTTAGTGTTATAAGATTTGTTGCTATGAAAAACTATTTTTTAAAGCAGCAGATGAAAAATAATTTATAAAATTGTAATACAATGAAAAATGTGTGTGTTATGATTATACTCTAGGAATTTCAAAAGAAAAATTGTTCTAGACTTTTTTTCATGAATTATAATTCAATAATTCAATTTTTTTTTCATGAATTATAAGAGAATATCTAGGGAGTAAGTGTTCTTTATCTTCATTTTCCCAATACATTTGATTTATTTGATAATTTATATAGTCTTAGATATTAGTAGTGTCTAATTAATCACTTCTCATTTTAACATTATAATGTAAGCCTGTCTAGTTAAAGAGGAATAACCCAAACCATGATGTAGAAAATGATAGTACATTACTTTGATAAACATCTCCACAAGAACTGATAAGAGAACATAGTGGTTCTTTACAATAAACAGCTCAAGTAATTGAATTGAGAAGTACTGAAACTATTTAGAAGACCAGAATTCAAGACCTGGCTCCATTACCTGTTAGGTATTTGACCATGGGACAGGGTATTCAACTGCTTGGAGCTACAATTTACCTGGAAAATGAGGATAATAATACTTGTACTCTCAGTTTCAAAAGATTGTGGCTAGAATAGCATTTTGTAAACTTCAAAACTAAAAAAATGAGTTAAGAAAAGGAAAATCTGGAAAAAAGATTTGAGTATTTAGGGATTGTTATTTATTTTCCCTCTGGCCTCCATTTTATTGTCTTCATAGTAGACATTAAAAATCAGGATCAGGGAGCAGCTAGGTGGTGCAGTGGATAGAGCACCGGCTGTGGAGTCAGGAGGACTTGAGTTCAAATGCAGCCTCAGACACTTACTAGCTAGCTGTGTGACCCTAGGCAAGTCCCTTAACCCCCATTGCCTCCAAAATTAAGAAAAAAAATTCGGAATCAGGAAAGTTAAGTGGGAAAAGTATTTAGTAATAGGAAGGCATGAAATCAAATTCTTCTAAAAAAAGTAGAATCCGTAAAAGACAAAAATCATATAGGTGGGGAGAAAGGACTATTTAGAAAAACTGAATTTCTCTCATTCCTTAAAATATGAATTATTTGGACATAAAAGACTGCCATAATAGGACAGTAGTATATTGTGTTGCCTTTGTATTATCTCTGTTCTTCACTGTTTTTTAAAAGTTAGTGAATGTTAAATAATAATCTCAGAAAAAGGGCACTCAGCACTATCTGGAAATGTTTTTAATTTTTAATGAAAGTGAATTTTTTATTTGGAGATTTTTAGGAATAGTAAGCCTGAAATTTCTGTTTATTCCTACTTTATTTTTGTTTTTCAGAAAGAGTTCTTTATTGAATTGAGCTTAAATACAGGACAGCTGGGTATTGATGATGCTACACAAGTGCCTCCTGGTAAGTGTTTCTCTGCTAAATGAAATATAATAATAATGATAAATGGCCTTCTTTTAAAAGTTCTATTTTCAATTAGCCTCTTAATATCTTACTTTAAAAATCAAAATGTTTTTTCTGATCATTATGTCATTAAGAAATGCTACATAAGAAATTCAGATGGAATCTTATCAGTTACAAGGGATTTTATAATTTCTTTTTTTTACTTAGAAACCATCTTTCAAAAGTTATTAGTGATAAAGACCGGAATTGTGATTTTAAAATTCATTAGGTTTGCAAACTTAATTTTTTGGGGCAAAATCTATATTGTTTGAACTCCAATTTCCCCCTCCTAGTCATCACTATCCATTTGTACTGTCCTTAATATCATTAAGTTAGGTAAACAATGATATCTGCTTAAAGCAAAATAAGGTTAAAATAATATTCATGGAGACCGTAATTATGCAGATAATTTTTTCAACTTCTAAATTTTCTTTACCTTGTACAGACATAGTCTCAGAGTCTCACTATAAACATCGACTGCCCTAAAAAGATACCATAAGGAGAGTTAAATTTCCTATCTGCCCAATGTCTGATTTTAATTTAGGCTTTGTTTTAACCTATGAATATATGTAGGATCTTTTTTTCTTGGTAAACTTTTCATTGCTATATAATAGGTAAGATTTTATTTTAACTATAACTTTTGTTTTTATTATTTTTCCTTTTCCTTGATCCTCCAAGAGTGCCTAAAAATAATTTTCAACATGAGTATCTGGGTCTTTAAAAATACATTGTCTTTTTCAGTGTCACTTTGATGTCACTTAATTGTTATGGTTGTTTTTGTTATCCCTTATTATTCATTGGCAAAGACTGCTGCAGATGAGTTAAATTGTTGCTTATTCATTAATATTATTTTTGCTGGTGTTGCATCTTGGTATTATTACTTGGATTAAAGAAGGTCACAGACTTATTTTTTAACTTATCAATCATAGTTGTTCAAATGTTCTATGCTTTATGACTAGTTAAATTGAAATATAATTCTGAAAGTTAAAAAATGTTGCTAATTGATGTGTTTATTTAAATAAATTTCATTTATAAGTTTAAATTGTAGCTGAAAAGAGCTTGGACCTGTCTTTCAAATAATTTCAAATCAATTCATGTGTAAATTATTTTATTTGATATTTTTATTCATATTTTATTATATCCATAATTCTTAGCTTGTTTACAAAGAAAAACACTGCCTTTGAAGTTCAGAATATATATCTGACAACTTAAAAAACTAACTATGGGTTTTTTCTCTCTACTGGTCCTATTTTATGTGTCTACAAACTCACATAAGTTTTGTTTTTACATGTGTTTGGCATGGCACCAACATTGGAAAATAGGGCTAATCCTCTTTTAATCGATAGTGTTGCTTCTTCTTTATAACTTTGAGGGACATTCTTGTGTTGGACAAATCTTTGTAATAGTAATACTTGTTATGTTAGAAATCTAGTGAGTATATGTATTTCCAGTATCCTAAAGTTCTCAGTGGAAAAAAGTACTACCGGTGGTCAGTCCTTGACGATAAATCCTATGATATTATGAATCATTGTTTATATCAAAAGTATATTTGTATGAAAATATACAATTAATAGATAAGTCTAGTTTTAATAACTCCTTTTTGCTTCCTCTTTTCAGTGGGATCAGGAATTATTTTAGCAGGAGAGAAAAGTAGATTTACTCTTTCTTTTTCATGTATTTTTAGAGGTTATTCAGAGGAGACCCCAATTTTATATAAGTTTAGACAATTTAGAAAAAGGAACTTTCTCTGTACAAAAAATGGTCATTGTCACTAGAGATAAATGTTTTAACATGGTCCACTATATAGTAACTTTCATATTTGTAAATGCCTAAAAGGGGTAATAGTAGTTATACATAGTGTTATAGAGTATTTTCTATCTCATAATGTTATTTTCTCTCTAAACTCAGAGCTTTTTGAAAATGAACATGTACGGCTTGGACAAAAAGGTAAGTTAAAGTTCTAATTTTCATAAATTCTTAAGAGTTTAGCATTCCCTAAATGCTAAAGAAATGTTTGTATTCAGCACGTTTACCAAATAATCTATACCCTCAAAAGTTCAGAACCTAAGGAAGCAATACACATAAATATAGATAATAAAAATACAATGAAAATGTGTGTAGACAAAGAGCTATTCTTTTATTTTAGCTCTAGTTAAAAATGGCAACTGAAAAACCCCACAACTGGTTCACTAAAAAAGAAATAGAAAGCACAGACACATATCTCCATGATGATAATTTAACCCATGCTACCTTTGAATTTTATTTTAAAATCAAAGAAGCCTGTTTTGTCTTGGATACACACACATTTCATTAGCGTTAATAGGAATTACGCACATGCATCAGGGGAAAATATAACCATAATACATCCAGATGATTATTTTCAGACGTAAGACTTAACAACTGATTCAGCTGTTAGTGCCTTTTGGAATATTTTCCCCTTAGTTTAGTGAAATTTTTCCTAATTTAATGAATCTGATTTTTCTTTTAAAGTACAGACATCTGTGATGTCAACGTAGATGTTTTATAACATTACACTGTTAGAGTCCTAAATCCGAATGCAGTAATTTTCATTTTCATTCTGTAGAACCTTTGCCATAAATACAAAATAAAAGATGTCTTGTACTATTTGGTAGCATTAATTTTTGTAACTAGAGCTCAACAGACTTTTATTTTCCCTGGCCCCATTCTCCTTCCTTTTTATTAATAGGATAGATTTTGTTACCTTGGTATAGTAATAGTAATAATGATAGCTAAAATTTAAACAATTTGATATTTGCAAAATGTTTTAGATATGCCATCTAATTTGATCCAAATTTGATCAAAGTAACCCTTTGAGGTAGATATATTTAGCATTCCCATTTTGTATATGAGGAAACTGAGGCTTGGAAAAATTAAGTCACCTACCTATGGTCACATAGCTAATTTGGTATCTGTGGTGGGGTTTGAATCCAGAGCTCTTTCAATTATGCTAAGTTTTCTTAACCAGAGGTCACTGACATATATGTGTGTGTGTGTGTGTGTGTGTGTGTGTGTGTGTATGTGTGTGTGTACTTATGTATGTATGTGCATGTGTGTGTGTGTGTATATGCCCATAACTACACACACACACACATATATGTATATATATATATATATACATATTGATAAGTGTATCTCAATGTAATTTGTTTCTTTTGTAATCCTATGTATTTCATTTTGTACATTAAAACAGTTATTCTGAGAAGGGTTCCATAGGCTTCACCAGTCTTCCTCATGACACCAAAAAAGCTTAAGAACTCCTACACTACATCATGTTGTCATATGAAAATAGTTCTTTTTAATAAAATATTAGTGAAATGCTCATGTCTTCATCTTTATCTCTTTTTAGCCTTTTTCTTTCTCAATAGCTGGAAAACTCTTTTAACTTGAAAAAAATTAAAGATTAAAGGAATTTAATTTTAGGAAATATGAAAGAAAGCATGGTTAGATTTGACCTGGAATCTTAAAATGACTTTGTGCCTCTGAAAACTCTTCTCCTTGATTATTAGTCTCATAAGTTGTTGCAGAAAGTGAAGTGGATCTCCGGCAGATAATATTGTCAATCAAAACTTATAGCAAAAGACAGGAACTCCCAAAACAATTCAATTCAAAACTTGACAGTTGTAATGTTATAAGAAGGCATCACACTGGAAATCCAAAAAATTAGTAGGAAGAAAGTCACAAACTGCAATATTGTGGTAATAGGACCTTAGGAATAAACATGGTTTTAAGAATAAGAAGCTCTTAAATTAAAAAGACCATACCACTGCATAGCAATAAGTAAAGATCTTATCACTTAAACCTTTTGTATCTAACTATGTAATTTAGAATATATTTTAGAATTATCAACTTTTACATTTCTCACAAAATCCTAATATGGTATTTTTTTTTTCTTTTGGCAGTTTTAGCTGAACAAGATAGTGCTGCTGCTCAACAGTATATCAGACAAGGTAGCCCAACAGCACTTCGAGCAGAATTGTGGGCCCTCATTTTGAACGTTTCTAATCAACCTGAGGTAAGTAGGAAAAAAGCATAGGCTGTATTTTAGTTTTGCTTGCATATTTTACAAAAGGTCAATTGTAGGAAGTAGGAATATTGGGTAATTTGATCCTGAAAGACATTTTTTCTACTTTTTAAGTTATTCTATTTTTAGAATTTTTGGGATGAAGTAATTTGAATATTGTCATACTTCTATTATATTCAATTTGTATTATAACACATATTTGTTACATGCCTAATATATGTAAAATGCTAGAATACAAGAGCACGTGGAAGATAACTGTGAAGAGGATGGCGCTAACAGCTAGGGAAACAGGAAATGACATCTTGTGATAGTTCTTGAAGGAAATAAAAAAAGATGCTTGAAAAAAATTGAATAGCATAAGCATGTAGCAGTAAAAAGAAAAAAACCCAAACCCTGTGGAAAATTATGTGTAGAATAAACTTTTAAATAAGAATATTTCACATTTAGGAAACAGATATATACTATGAAAAATATCAGTGAAAATGTAATACACTAAAACAAAAATTATATATGCTACTTACTTTTTAAAATATTCTTAATGGAGTTTTTCTTACTTAAAATGCTTGCCTGGATAATATGAATGATTTGTAAATCTCAATCCTCAAGTAATCTTTTAAGTAAATAATAGGAAAATAGAGTTGTCAATATCTCTCACAAAAAAGAATATGTATAATTCTTAGAAAAATCTTCACTTTTTAGAAAATAAGGTTATTCATGGCTACTATGGAAAATTATTCACAGACTGTTGTCTATAATGTATTAGAAGTTAAGTTATATTTTATATTTAAAATTTTTTTCTTAGAGTGGATAACAGCATCTAACTTGTTTCTGAAGCTTGTGAAATAACTATATGTTTTGTTAGACTTCTTTCAGGAGGTATAATAACTGAGCCCCAAGGGAGATTTGCAGTAGGAATGGCAAAAATTTGTTTTAAAAATCAGTCTATAAGCACTTATTGAATACCTTGCTGTGTACCAAACATTGTAAAAGGTACTAGGGAAACAAATGTGAAAATTAAATAATCTCTAATCACAAAGAGCAATAAAGAAGAAAAAGGAGAAGGGAACAAACTTTTATTAAGTTCCTACTATGTATCAGGCACCATGCTGAGTGCTTTACAAATATTATCTTATTTCTACATGTGTAAGTATGTGCAGAATAAATATAAAGTAAATAAATACAAAGCCATTAAATATGAGGTGATTAGGGAGAATTAGCACTAGCATTTGGAAGGCTTAGGAAAGGCTTCATGTAGAAAAGAGTGCTTGAGCTATATTGTGAAGGAAGAAGATAGAACCAGGACTGCTTAGCCTGGGATATGTGAATTTCTTTTTGTGTGAGTGTGTAACTGTATTTCAACATAATTAGTTTCCTTTGTTATCCTATGTATTTTATTTCATACATGTAAAAACATTATTCTGAGAATGACTCCATAGGCTTTAATAGGCCTAAAGGACCCATGATGCAAACAAGTTTAAGACATAGAGAAGAAATATTGCGCAATGACGTGTGTGTTAGAGTGCGTGATATTTGTCTTTTTGCCAACTGCTATCCATACTCATAGTGCAGGCTTAACTCCCCTTAGAAGAGAAGCCAAAAAACTCAAGGAATGCCTCTATGTTCTCCAGAATGTTAAAGAGAATAATTTTGTCTCTTAGAAAATTGAAGAAGGGCTTCAAGGTAAAAGCAAAGACAACAGATGTGAAGAAAAGAAAGGAATCCTGACCTGTGCCAGAGATTAAAGGATAAAACAAGCCACTGAGTAGAAAGGGAGAAGAACCACCAAACACTGGAGCATTAGCTAATAGATAGGAACTTCTTTACCTGTAGAGAACAACTGGACTCTGAGGAGGAGCCTGCTACTTGCACTTGGGGGAAAGATGTTGTGGATGCACAGGTGTCAGGAGGAGAGCAATTATCCATTAAAGTGTTAGACAAAAAAGAAATGAGTAGTGTTGGTTAGGATTTCTCCTACTCTGTTTGTTGACTTGACATTAACAATAGAGAGGTCGGCTATCTTCTGAGGACAGGTGTCCAGGATCAGATAAACCTCTTTAAACTTGTCAGACCTGATGAGCTCTACTTTTGTTAGGAGACATATATGAGTACAAATGATGCTGTCAAAAGGAAGCCAGAAAATGTTGCTGAGGATTATGAAGTCCTTGACAAAAAAGCCAAAGGATTTAAGGACAAAGATGATATTTTAATCACTGCTACCTTTTGTTGAAGGCATGGGATTTGGAAGAAAAGAGACAGACATGGGAATAGCTAATTAAGAAAATGCAGTCAGTGAATAGGTTGTATTTGCATATCATGGCTTAAAGTATAGGAATCATGGGCTCTTGGCCAGAGACAGAATATATATAATGGATGGGGCAAATATGTATTTGCTCAGTGTCTTGCAAATTAAATCAAAAGAGCTTGAAATTGAAAAGGTAAAAGAAGGAAGAAAACTGCCTATTTATCTACTAGTCTAGATACCATAAAGAGTCTGTATAATATAGAAAGAACAGTGGTAGACAAGTGTTAATAATTTTTTTTTAAATCTGTGAATGTGCTCAGATGTTTAACAATTGGGAAATGGTTTTATATTTAATAAACAAAATGTAACAAATTGGGAGCTTATGGTCCATTAATCTAATGAAAATGGCAGCTAGGTGGTACAGTAGACAGGAAGACCAGAGTTCAAATCTGGCCTCAGGCACTAACTAGCTGTGTGACCCTGGGCAAGTCATTTAACCCTGTTTGTGTCAGTTTCCTCATCTGTAAAGTGAGCTGGAGAAGGAAATGGCAAACCACTCTAGTATCTTTGCCAAGAAAACCCCAAATGGAGTCATGAAGATTGGGTCAAGACTGGGGGAAAAAAAGACTGAAATCTAATGGACTATACTAGAAAGCAATTAAGGTAGACAAAGATGATGAATGTAAAGAAAAAGGGAAAGCATTCAAAGCAGAAGACAAAGCAGAACTAGAAGAATATGAATTAGACCCTATGTAAGAGGGAAAGGGGAAGAACATGGCTATGGAATCAGATGGTCTGGGCATAGATGCTGCTCCAACATGATTCTTATATTTTAAGCTATCATATACAAATACAAATCCTATTCTCAGACCGCATTTTCTTAATCAGCTATTCCAACATCTGTCTCTTTCTACGAAATCCCATGTGTTAAAATCATGGTTCTTTAGCAAATGTAATCATAGACTTTTTGTCAGCTATCTACTGAGATTTATTATGAAAATGAAAAGTATAAAACATAGAAAGAAATATTCTCATCCATGTATTATAGAAGGCATCTTATGCAAAATTCAAGGAAAAGAATTTCCTGTCATTGGCAAGGTTCTCCAAATATGAATATTCATGGAACTATGAAGCCTTCTTACTGAAATACATTATAATGCAAAAAAATTAACTTAGCCATTGACTTTAGAAAAAATAATGCCTAATAAAGTGCATGTTGCTCAGATTATTACATTTAGTTGTATAGGTGGTCCATTGAATTGGGCCATTGATACATACATACATATATCCATTTTTCTGTCTTAAAGTACAGTAGGTAAACAATGAACTTGGACTAGAATTGAGTAGGAAAAGGAGATAGGACTGTATCTCATTTGAAAAATTGCATAACATTTTCATTGATCCCCAGTAACTTGCTGCTACACAAAGTCATTTTTAAAATCTCAGCATCTTCTATTACATGCCTTTGAATCATCAGATATAATCTCAGAAGAAATAAATAGCAGGTGACCAGTAGGACAATGGAAAGATGCATTGTTGGGATAAGATATCTGTACGATATTATCAATAATGATTTATCAGTAGTATAAAACACATTATCAGGAATATTTATCACCAAACAATTGGCACATCAGATAAACAGCCCAAGTACTCCACTAGGACATATGAAATGTTAAAATAAATTACCAGAGGAAAGCTAATGGTGGTATAAGTGGCTTGTATTTGGAGGAGTTACAAAAAGTCAAGCATATACCACATATTACGTAAAGTCCTGGGGAGTCCTATTAAGGGAGTACCCACACTGATGAGATGAGGGGCTAATTGAAGTATTGGAATAAATATTGCCTGAACAAATTTGGAATTTTAAATATTTTGTTTCATATAGTCATTAAATTATGCCAATTTTCATATCATTTTAGGGTAACATAAGGTTACAATTTTAACTACAAAAAATTCATCTCTCAGCTGAAAAGATTTTATTTTGGCCATCCTAGCCATGTTTCTGTCATATAAGACAAAGGACTGAGATCAAGTGAATTCTTACTGGAATTCAGAACTATTGTATCTCTAACTAGCGTTAGGTCTATTGCAAGTCTTTTAACCTCTATGGGTTCAGTTACCTCATCTGTACAACAAGAGCATTCTAGCTCTAATGATTTATGATTTTTTGGTTTTATGACCTTTTTTACTATTAAAAAAAACCCCAGCTTTTGTAGAAAAGCACTATTAAATACTCATGGAAATCCTAGTGAAAACAACAAAAAGTGCATAAATCATCTGGAGTCATTATATCAATGCAGCCATTCATTAAGTACTTTCTATGTATCAGACACTGCATTAAGCACAGGTGATACAAAGAAAAGAGAGAAAAAAACAGTCTCTGCCCTCAAACAGAATACATTCTAATGGAAAACACGTAAATATCTAGATCTGTAGAAGACATGTAGAGTAGATAAAGATGTTCTGAAGGAGATATGAACAGACTAAAGTTAAGAGAATCAGGAAAGGAATTGTAAAAGGAGGAATTGAGCTGATCCTTGAATGAAAACAAGGAAACCCTGATGGGGAAATGAGGCATTCCAGGCATGGGGGACAGCCACTGCAAAGGCAGAGATGAGAGATAAAGTGCCACGTTCAAAGAACTCTTTAAGTAGGCCACTGTAGCTGAATCATACTTAAAGCTGGAAAGGTAAAAGGAGTCTGTTTGCAAAAAGCTTTAAATGACAGGATTTTATATTTGATCTTGGAG